GCCAGTGAATGATGTTTCTCTCATCAAGAATGTTTCTTTCTCTCTCTCCCTCTCTGAAATCAATAAAAATGCATTTTTAAAAATATATTTTATTGATTTTTTTACAGAGAGGGAGAGAGGGATAAAGAGAAACATTGATGAGAGAGATTCATTGATCAGCTGCCTCCTGCACACCCCCCACTGGGGATGTGCCCGCAACCAAGGTACATGCCCTTGACCGGAATCGAACCTGGCACACTCCATCCACTGAGCCAAACTGGTTTTGGCAAAAATGTATTTAAAAAAAAACACATATTTTATTCATTTTACACAGAGAGGAATTGAGAGGGACAGAGAGTTAGAAACATCGATGAGAGAGAAACACCGACCAGCTGCCTCTTGCACACCCCCACTGGGAGTGCACCCGCAACCAAGGTACATGCCCTTGACGGAATCAAACCCAGGACCTTTCAGTCCGCAGGCCAAATCAGCTTCGGCAAAAATGTGTTTGTGTGTGTTTTTTTTAAAGGCTTTCCCATAGGTAGGTGTCACCCTGACTCCTCCCTTCCTTTAACTACATCCACTTCCAGGTACCGGGACCCCACAGCCATTCCCTAAGCAGCCCTGACTCCATCCGTGCCCCTCCAGTTGAGTCCACCAGCTTCTCCTGCTTGGACCGCTGGAGAGCCCCCCTCACCGCAGGGCTGGTGTCCAACCCCCACTCCTGGGAGCACTTGAAATGCAAGTTGTCAGACAGTCGGTGTGCTTTCCGCTTTCCGAGAGGGTCCCGTCACACCTCCCGCCTCCATTCTTTTCATTTTCCTGGCACAGTCCCCGCCTCTTGCCTCGGCCTCTGCTGCTCCCCTTGCTCATCACCCTCGTCTCCATCTTTCCCCCTCCCCTCCCTGCTCCTGCCTACCCCCAACCCCGCCTCCACCCCTCTCCCCCGTTAGTAACTGCCATGGTGATCATATTCAAACCCCTTCCCACCCACAAAGATTCTTCAAGCAAAACAAGGCACTGATTGTAAGGAGAGAAGGGGGAACTTTTTGAATGCATTCTCTCATTCTTTTTTTAAAAAATATATTTATTTATGATTTAATGATTTATTTATTTATTTATTTATTTTTACAGAGAGGAGGGGAGAGGGATAGAGAGTTAGAAACATCCATGAGAGAGTAATATTGATTAGCTGCCTCTTGCATGCCCCCTACTGGGGATGTACCCGAAACCAAGGTACCATACATGCCCTTGACCGGAATTGAACCTGGGACCTTTCAGTCCCCAGGCCGATGCTCTATCCACTGAGCCAAACCAGTTAGGGCTGTTGTTGTCAAACTCACTAGTCAACAGAGCCAAATATCAACAGGAACAATGATTGAAATTTTTTTCGAGAGCCACATTTTTAATCTTAAACTTCTTCTAATGCCACTTCAAAATAGACTCGCCCAGGCTGTGGTATTTTGTGGAAGAGCCTCCTTCAAGGGGCCAAAGAGCCGCAGTTTGCTGACCACGGGGTTAGGGTATAGGAGGGGGAACTTTTTGGATCCATCCCAGGAATTTTAGTCCTTCTTTACTTCTTTCCTTTTTCTTTTTTCTTTTTATTTATTGATTTTGAGAGAGAGAAGGGGTGGGGAGGGGAGAGAGAGAGAGAGAGATCAAATTTGTTGTCCCACCTGTTTATGCCTCCATTCATTGACTCTTGTAATTGCCCTGGCTGGGGACCAAACCGGAAACCGTGGCGCACGGGGTTGATGATGAACTAACCAACTGAGTTACCGGCCCTTCCCTCCTCTCTCTGCGGCTCTCGGCCCTGTGCTGCGCTCTCTGACGCTGGCTTCCTAGTTTTTTGAGTCTCTGAAATTTCACTCCAAGTTTATATCTCGGGTTCTAGAATCCAGCTGGCCCATCTGCAGTCTGGCGTTCTCCCTGGGCCGATCAGCCGCAGCGAGGGGACTGGGCCATGTGGCCCGGACACTCTCTGGGCCTCACTCCTGAGAGCCGGCCGGGCACAGGAAAGGAGGAATGGACTGGGTAGACCCCAAAGGTGTCTCCTGCGGCTCAGGGCACTTGCCCCGTGCTCCCTCCTGTGGTGTACCTCCTGTGGGAGGTCTGCCCTCCCCAGGGGACACAGGCTTTGGGAGTGGGGATGTGCACCACTGGCTGTCTCCGGGGCAGAGACACCGTGTGCCCAATTAACAGGAGAGATAAAGTGCCAAGACCGCCCGGGGAAGGCCGGGCTTTCAGGTTCCAGGAGGCATCCCTGAGGACATGCCTTTGGGCCAGGCCTGAAGGCGGGAGCATCTCACTGACTCAGAGCAGGGCGTGGAGGCCTCGGGGCTGAACTGGTCCTACCACGCATGACCCAGTAACACATGGGGGACTGCTATGGGAGGAGGGGAGGACCTGGAAAGTGAAGGGGAGACTAGACTCCTGGGGTCTCCCAACCAAGCATCTCCTCCTCTGGCCCCTGCTGGCGGCTTGCTGCGTTGGAACTGTGTGTGCGCACCGAGTCCCTCCGGGGCTGCGTCCCTGGCATCTTTGTGTAACAGATCCCCAGGGTCATCTGCGTGGAACGGAACCTCCTCCGGGCGAGCGGCAGTTGGGAACAGCCCTGATACTGCGTTCAGCCCAGGCACACGGAGCTTCAGGCCTGTCCCAGCCCCTGAGGCCTCTGAGATGCACCGACCTGGTCCCACCTGAGAAATCAGGGGTCACAGGACACAGGTCACAGGTCCCAACTCCGGTGAGAACGAGATCGGTGTTGAGACGGAGACATGCAGGGGTGCAGCGGAGTCTGGGGAGCTGCAGGCACGCTCACTCGGAGGGGAATCCGGCCCACAGTGCTCTGCAGGAGGAGGCGGCGGAGCTGATTTGAAGTAGCAGAGATGTCAGCCGCCTTTTCTCAGAGCTGAATACGCCTGCCCTGTGTTCAGGATTCCAGACAGTGTTTAAGCCCTTAGCTCACTCTTTCTCACCAGGACGAGCAGGGCGGTACAATTTTGCAGAGGAAGAACCCACCTCAGAGAGGTTAAGTAATTTGCTCAAGGTCACACAGCATGTGCGAGGAGCTGGCCCTCCCTCCACCCCCACCCTACTCCCTGAGAAAGAGCCCTTCACTACTGGGCGGGACTAACCGCCCCTCCCAGACACGCCGAGTTCTCTCTGGATCTCAGAGTCTGTAGGTGGAGACCATTATATATATATATATATATATATATATATATATATATATATATATATGAATTCTTCGATCTGGGTTTAAATTCTGGCTCTACAGGTACTGGCTGTGAGATCTCATGTAATTCAACCTCATTGAGCTTTAGTTTCTCTTTATACATGGAAGTAAAATTCACATAAAATTAACCATTTGAACACCTCACGGTACATTTATAATGTTGTGCAACTACCACATCTATTTAGTCGCAAGACATTTTTAAAAATATATTTTTATTGATTCCAGAGAGGAAGAGAGAGGGATAGAGAGATGGAAACATGAATGATGAGAGAGAATCATTGATCAGCTGCCTCCTGGACTCCCCACTCAGGCATGTGCCCTTGGCTGGAATTGAACCTAGGACCCTATAGTCCACGGCTGACGCTCTATCCACTGAGCCAAACAGGCTAGAACCAAAAGATTTTTTTTAATTTACAATTTTTAATGTTGAAAGCAAAACATTTTTAAAAATATACTTTTATTGATTTTTTACAGAGAGGAAGGGAGAGGGATAGAAAGTTAGAAACATTGATGAGAGAGAAACATTTATCAGCTTCTTCCTGCACACCTCCCACTGGGGATCTGCCCACAACCAAGGTACATGCCCTTGACAGGAATTAAACCTGGGACCTTTCAGTCTGCAGGCCGATGCTGTATCCACTGAGCCAAACCAGTTAGTGTGCAAAACATTTTTATCACCCCAAAACAGAACCATGAAGCCATTACTCTCTGTTATCCATGCCCACTGCCCACCTCCTTCAGCCCCTGGCAAGAACCAGCCTGCTTTCTGTCTCCATGGATTTGCCTATTCCAGATACTTCATATAAATGGAATCATCCAATTGGAGCATTTTGTGTCTGGCTTTTCCCCCCTTAACATTGTTTTTTTTTTTTTTAACATTGTTTTTAATATGTTGCTACATGTTGCCATACGAATCAGTACTTCATTCCTTTTTTATGGCTAAATACCACATTTTATTGTGTGGCTAATACCACATTTTACTTATCCATTAATTGTTGATGAACTCGGGTGTTTTATGTGTTGTTGTTTTTTCACCTTTTGGCCATTGGGAATAATGCTGCCATGAACATTGTGTACAAAGATCTGTTGAGCCCATGGTTTCAATTCTTTTGGTCATCTACTTGGGAGTGAAATTGCTGGGTCACATCATGATTCTGTTTAACTTTTTGAGGAACCACCAGTTTACATTCCCTTCAGCAACATACAAGGGTTCCAGTTTCTCCATGTCCTCACTAACACTTGTAATTTTCTGCCTTTCCTTTATATTATTATTTATAACTACAGACCTGGTGCACAAAATTCATGCACTGCAGGGGCTTCCCTCAGCCTGGCCTGTGCCCTCTCACAGTTCAGGAGCCCTTGGGGGATGTCTGACTGTCAGCTTAGGCCCACTCCCTGCCGTCGGTTGGACATCCTTAGTGCTGCCGTGGAGGCCACACTAAGAGGCCACAGCCACTGCACTCACCAGTTGTGAGCCCAGCTTCTGGCTTAGCAGCACTCCTGCATTGAGCCTCTGCCCCCTGGTGGTCAGTGTACATCATAGTGACTGGTCATTCTGCCATTCGATCGATTTGCATATTAGCCTTTTATTACATAGGATAGCCATCCTGATGGGTATGAAGTCGTATCGCATTATGGTTTTGATTTGCATTTTCCTAATGATTAGTGATGGTAAGCATCTCTTGATGTGCTTATTGGCTTTCTTTCTTTCTCCTTCCTTTTAAAAAACATATATTTAAAAATAAATAAATAAATAAATAAAAAATAAAACCATTTGACTATGGTGCTCACTCCGGCAGCACACATACTAACACTGGAAGGATGCAGAGAAGATTAGCACGGTCCTTCTGCAAGGATGACATGCAAATTCATGAAGCGTTCCATATTTTAAAAAATTAAAAAATAAAATAAAGTCGTTTGACTATGTGTGTGAGGGTTGATTTCCGGGCTCTCTATTTGGTTCCATTGATTTACATGTCTGTCTTTATGCCAGTACAATACTATTCTGATTGCGGTAGCATTGTAAGGTTTTTTTTGTTTGTTTTTTTAATATATTTTATTGATTTTACACAGAGAAGAATTGAGAGGGACAGAGAGTTAGAAACGTCGATGAGAGAGAAACATCGACCAGCTGCCTCTTGCACACCCCCCACTGGGGATGTGCCCGCAACCAAGGTACATGCCCTTGACCGGAATCAAACCCGGGACCCTTCAGTCCTCAGGCCGACGCTCTATCCACTGAGCCACACCGGTCCCGGCAACATTGTAAGTTTTGAAATCAGGAAGTGTGAGTCCTCCAGGATGGTTCTTCTTTTTCAAGATTGTTTTAACTATTTGGGGTCCCTTGAGATTCCACATGAATTTTATTTTTATTTATTCATTTATTTAAAAAATATATTTTGATTTTTTACAGAGAGGAAGGGAGAGAGAGAATTAGAAACATCGCTGAGAGAGAAACATCTATCAGCTGCCTCCTGCATACCCCCCACTGTGGATATGCCTGCAACCAAAGTATATACCCTTGACCGGAATTGAACCTGGGACACCCTGGTTCAATCGCAGGCCGATGTTCTATCCACTGAGCCAAATCGGCCATGGCTCCACATGAATTTGAGTGGATTTTTATACTTTGGCAAAAACGTTATTGAGATTTGATAGGAATTGCATCACTCCTGCATATTGCTTTGGGCAGAATTGACATCTTAATCCATCAATACAGATGACTTTCCATTTATTTGTATCTTTTTAAATTTCTTTTAGCAACATTTTCTAGTTTTCAGTGTTCACGTATTTTTTCTTCTTTGGTTAAGTTTATTTCTAAGTAGTTTATTATTTTTGATGCTAGTGTAAATGAAATTATTCTCTTAATTTCCTTTTTAGATAGCTCAGTGTTGGTGTATAGAAACCCAACGAAGTTTTGTGTGTTGGTTTTGTATCCTGCAACTTTACTGAATTGATTTATTAGCTCTAATTTTATTGGGTGCATGGAATCCTTAGAGTTTCCTACATATAAGATTATGTCATCTGTGCACAAAAATAATTTTACTTCTTCCTTTCCCATTTGGATAGCTTTTCTTTTTCTTGCCTAATTTCTCTGGCTAGGACTTTCAGTTCCTTGTGGAATAGAATTGTCAAAGTGGATATCTTGTCCTATTCCTGACCTTAGAGGAAAATGTTTCAGTTTTTGTCAAGTCAGTGAATACCATGTTAGCGTTGTTAGTGATTGCTGGCTTCTCACTGAGGGTCTTTGTCATGTTGAATCAGTCTCCTAGTTTGTTGAGTGTCTTGTTTTTATCACAAAAGGGCCAATTTGGTTGCCTTTCATTGTTTTCTTGCCTAATTGCTCTGGCCAGAACTTCAGTGTAATGTTAAATAGCAGTAGTGAAAGGAAATGTTAAATAGCAGTAGTGAAAGGAAATGTTAAATAGCAATAGTGAAAGCAGGTATCTTGGTCTCATTTCTGGTCTTAAGGAGAAAGCTTTTTAAAAAGTTGCAATATGCCAAAACCGGTTTAGCTCAGTGAATAGAGCATTGGCCTTTGGACTCAAGGGTCCCAGGTTCGATTCCGGTCAAGGGCATGTACCGTGGTTGCGGGCACATCCCCAGTGGGGGGTGGTGTGCAAGAGGCAGCTGATCGATGTTTCTAACTCTCTATCCCTCTCTCTTCCTCTCTGTAAAAAAATCAATAAAATATATATATATATAAAAAAAAAGAATTAGCAGGTTCCAACAGAGCTGGCCTACTTAAAAAAAAAAAAGTTGCAATATTTCACCATTGAGTACAATGTTAGTTGTTGATTTTTTGTTAACCTTTAATGATGTTAAGGAGGTTCTTTTTCTTTCTATTGTGCTGGTTTTTAAATATATATATATATATATATATATATATATATATATATATATATATATATATTTCAGAGAGAAAGGGAGAAGGAGAGAAAGAAAAACATCAATGATGAGAGAGATAGAATAATTTCTGGCCTCTCACCATAACTTCTGAAAGCCCAGTAGGGCATGCTGAGTGTTTTTATCATGAAAGACAATCCTGCCTTAGCCAATTTGGCTCAGTGGATAGAGCATCAGGCCAAGGATTGAAGGGTCCCAGCTTTGATTCCGGTCAAGGACACATGCTTGGTTTTGGGCTCAATCCCCAGTAGGGGACGTGCAGGAGGCAGCCAATCAATGATCCTCTTCATCATTGATGTTTCTCTCTCCCTCTCCTCCCTTCCTCTGAGGGGGGGGGTAGGAGAAGACAACCCTGCCTCTGGGAGTATCCATGTGCGAGGAGCACATGCATATCACCATGGCCCTGGAGTCCAAGGCCCCTCCAATTTCCCACTCAGCCCTAACAGGGCTGGTTAAATGGAGCCTGAGCCGTTCAAACTTTGGCTCTCCAGTGATCTAGGCGTGGTCCTGGCTGGGCTTTCAGGAGTTACGGTGAGAGGCCAGAAATGACCCATCCCAGCCTTCCCAGCCTACCCCAAAGCCCAGCCAGGACTGCCTCTCTTTCCTACATTCCTGGCCGTTCCCAAGGTGCTCTGCGCCTCCAGGCCTCCTTACCCTCAAACGCCTTTCCTTAGCAGGACTCCTTCCATTGCACAAGATGAAGTCCTTGCCCCAGGGAGCAGGGAACCTCTGGAGGTTTTGGGTGCGCTGCTTTTTATCCCGTGAGCCTGCCCTTTCTGGGTGGTTACCAAAACGACTACAACTGGGCAGGGCCATTCCTTACTCCCAGAGGACAAGCCACGGGGCAGCCTACGAGTGAGACACAGTGGCGGACAGAAGCGCGCCTTTCTTTTCTTTTCTTCTCTTTCTTTTTTTTTTTTTTAATATACTTTATTAATTTTATACAGAGAGGAAGGGAGAGAGATAGAGAGTTATAAACATCGATGAGAGAGTCATGGATCAGCTGCCTCTTGCACACCTCCTACTGGGGATATGCCCGCAACCAAGGTACATGCCCTTGACCGGAATCGAACCTGGGACCCTTCAGTCCCCAAGCCGACGCTCTATCCATTGAGCCAAACCGGTCCCGGCAGAAGCGCGCCTTTCTGTGAAGTCTTTCCAGACCAGTAAGACTGGGGAGCCAGCTAAGCCCTCCCAGGTCTCAGGAACCAAGGCACTAAGTGAGAATGGAACATTTGAGACACCTAAAGCTGGGATTCTTTCTGGCAGCGCCTTCTACCGGTCTCTTTCCATTGCTCGTTTGGAACACTTGTGGTTTTACATCCTAACTAGAGGCCCGGTGCATGGATTCGTGCACACTGAAAGGGAATTAATTAGAAGGTGGCCAGCAGGGCGGGCCCTGAGCCAACCTCCCTCCGTACCCTCCTGGCCAGCTGGGCCTGGGGCTGCACCGGGGCTCAAAGGGCATCTGCAGAGTGAGCGGGTCCCTTTGGTAGGTGGGTCCCTCTGCCAGGCCTGCGGGGATCCGGCCAAAACCACAGTGCGGCATCCCCCAGGGGTCCCCGTGCCCGAGAGGGCACTCTGCAAAGTTGCTGTCCCTTGGCAGCTCCTGTGTTGAGCATCTGAACCCTAGTGGTCAGTGAGTGCCATGCCTACCGGCCTGTGGGTGGGACGGCAGGTCACTTAGCCATTATATATAATAGATTTGCTAGGTATGTCTGATGCTAGAGGTGCGAAGGCCCAGAAGAAAAGGGAGGTGGGGAGAAAAAGGGAATTTTTTTAAGCCAATGATTTTATGAGGAAAGCAAAACCTTTTTAAAATATTCGTTGTCAGAATGTTTTCTTCATCTGGCCAGTGTTCACAAAAAGGAGGAGGAGAAAGAGGAGAAGGAGGAGGAGGAGGAGGAGAAGGAGGAGGAGGAGGAGGGGGAGAACCTGGCCTGTTGGTGGAGACAGGCGGACACAGTAAGCTCTTGTCCTTTCACTGGGGCCCATGTGGCAGCAATTGCCAACTTGAGGAAGCAGAACCTGCGCCCTTAATCTCCTCTTAAGTGTCAAGAAAGCTTTTCTTTCTTTCTTTTTTTCAAATATATTTTATTGATTTTTTTACAGAGAGGAAGGGAGAGGGATGGAGAGTTAGAAACATCTATCAGCTGCCTCCTGCACACGCGCCACTGGGGATGTGCTGGCAACCAAAGTACATGTCCTTGACGGGAATCGGACCTGGGACCCTTCAATCCGCAGGTAGACGCTCTATCCACTGAGCCACTTCGGTCAGGGAAGAAAGCTTCTCTTGTGCCGGCTTCTTTTCCAGGGAATTCCGAAGACAGCTTCAGCTAACAGGAAACAGGACAGGGAGTGGGAAACACGAGTTACATGGTGTGCACCTATTTCAGAGACCCCGAAGGCTGTGCCGGCCTCTACAGGAGGCGATGGTGGCAATAGCCATTGGGAGCATCAGCAATGGCCTTCCCCAACGCTGAGCCCCCTTTCTCCGCGCCAGACACGTCCATCCACTCATTCAATCCTAAGGAGCCCTCAAGGTTACCGCCAAGGCAGGCACGAGGAGGAACCGAGGCTCCCCGGAAGCACCGAGCGGCCAGCGCGCCTCTCTGGTGGCCGGCGGGGTGCAAACCCTTCCCGTGGGGCCGGCCCTGATGCATCCCCGAGGTGGGATCCCGCCCGCCCTCCCGACACCGGCATCCGCGGTGTAGACGGCGCTGTGCGGGGAGGGATCGCGGCTCCACTCAAGCGTCTGGGCGTAGAAATGCAACTAAGAGTGTCGGCTGTGTATCCTGCAACTTTGCTGAATTAATCAGCTCTCCCTTTTTTCGTGTGTGCAATCTTGAGAGTTTTCTACACGTAAGAGATTATGTCACCCGGGAACAGAAACCATTTTACGTCTTCCTTTCCAGTTTGGATCTTTTCTTTCTTTTTCTCGCCTGGTTTCTCTTTTGCACAGTCTGGGAACCCGCACTTCCACTCCCATCCCCTGATCTGCACCGTTCCCAGCGCGAGGGGAGCACGGCTCCCGGCGGAACGTTCCTCGCGGCGGCGTGTGTTCCCGGCCGGGCCTCCGGGCGCGCGGGCCGCGGGGGGGGGGGACGCTTTCAGGCGCGGACCGCGAGCCGAGGCTGCGAGCGCCGCCGCCGCCAGAGAAGCAGGCGCTCGGCCGGAGCCAGTGCGCGGCGCCCGGGCCTGGCCGGCTGCTTCCCGCCGCGGCCGCCACCCCCGCCCCTGCCGCCCGGACCCCGCCGAGGCGGGCGCAGCGGAACGCGAGGCGCGAGGCCCTGCCCGGCCCGGCGCGGCCCGGAGCCGCGGCGCCTGAGGTGAGTGCCGCCGCCGGCCCGGCTCCCCGCTCGGCCGCCGGGACCCGCAACAATGGGGCCCGGAGGGGACCCGGCCCGGGCCCGGGCCCGGGCCCGGAGGCCTGGGACAGCCTGCCAGCCAGCCGGTCCCGGCGGCCCGGGCCGTGGGGCGCTGGGTCGGACCCGGGGAACTCTTGGGCCGGAGGCTTGGGGGACCTTCGCTTCGCCCCGGGCCCGGCGGCTGGATGTCGGGGGTGTGTGGCGGGGGAGGGAGGCTCGGGGGCGCGGAGGCTTGGCCCGGGGGGCGCTCGCTCCCAGCGCCCGGGGCAGACGCCCTGGAGGCCGGCCATTGTGGGGCGAACGCGGGGTTCGCGTTCGGAATTCCGGGGCCTCTGGGGGCGCGGACCCCAGGCGCGGCGCGGCTGGTCCGTCTCCCCCGCCCCCGCGCCCCGAGGCCGGGAAACTTGGCGGAGCGGGGCGTGCGGGAGGAGCCGCTTCCCGAGGTCGCCGGCGGTTAGTTTCCTGGAAAGGCCGAGCCCCGCTGGGCCGGGGGAGCCGGGAGCCGGAGTCTCCCTCCGCGGCCCGGGCGGCCCGGCGCTCCAGGCGGGGCGGCGCCGCGGGAGGGTCCCCGGGCCCAGGGGGAGGCTGAGGGCGGAGGCGGCGGGCTGCTGAGATTGGAGCCTGGGCTCCGGGTGGGCCCCGGCGGCGCGGGCGGGAGCGGCTCGCGGGAGGCCGACCTCCGGCTGCGGTGGCGCGGCGACTCCGGTCTGCGAGCCTCCATCCCCGGGCGTCTCCGGTCTGCGACCCTCCATCCCCGGTGAAGGGCTGCGAGGGGCATCCGGGGGTTGGAGTGAGTTTGCTCCCGGGGAGAGCGCCGTGCGGCCCCCCCCTTCCAACCCTGGGTCCGGACAGGAGCGATCGCGGACGGGTTCGCAGCCAAGCACGTCCTCGGGGCGTGCGGGGTCAGAGCTCTCCCCCTGCCTGTCTCGTCCTCCTTTGTGTGTGAATCGTGACTCATACTTGCTTTGCAGCCCTGTGGCTGCTGTTTGTAGTAGACCTCCCCAGTACTTGTACATTTTAGGGGAGGGTGTTTTTTTTTTAGTCCAGTTTTTAGAAATCTCAGTCTAGGCTTGTGTTCATTTACTTTGGTGTCATGGCTTCGCAGCTCCGGAGAGGGATGTGAAAACTTTAGCAGTTTATGTTGTTAAAAGTTCTTGTTTGGGTCCCATCTGCGGTGACGGAAGGAGACTTGACGGGGTGGTGAACTCACCATGCAATAGACAGGATTCCTTACCCACCTGGACACTTGAAACCTATGGAGTCTTATTCACCGATGTCACCCAATTAATTTAATAATTTTTTAATTCTTTATATCCCTACACTCATGGAGCTGTACTTTTCCTACTGCTATGAAGTCATTCTGTTGAATCTGTTAGATCTTTTTTTTTTTTTTAATTGATTTCAGAGAGAGGTATAGTAACATCCATGATGAGAATCATTTGATCCGTTGGCTCCTGCACGCCCCCTACTGGGGATCGATCTGGAAACCTCGGCCTGTGCCCTGTCCCAGAATGGAACAGTGACCCTCTGGTTCATGGGACAGCACTCACCCACTGAGCCACACCAGCCGGGCAGATCTGTTAAATCTTGACTGTCAGCTCTCACAGGACTTCATCCTCCCTGGAAGAGTCAGCTGTGTTTAGTGAATTTAATCTGTGAAGGGTGTCTCCTCTTCATTAGTGAGTGTGCAAACTCCAGTTGGCAGGCCAGCAGCTGTGCACAGCGCTCTGGAAGTAGTCTTCATGCAGAAGTTGGTGTCTTGTCCGTGGATGGGATGGCAACCTCCATGTGGAAAACACAGGATCAGAATCACAGTGCTGCGGGCTTATTAGTGCTGGAGGTACTGCTAGCTGGAGTCTAGCATGCTCGGACAGTCTCAGGGAGATGTGAGGTAATTTTGACCGTTTGTAGTTACATTGATAGTTATGGGGATTGTTTTCCCCTTAATTAAAACAAATATGCATGTTCCTTCAATTCTTTTAAAAAATATATATATTTTATTGATTTTTTTACAGAGAGGAAAGGAGAGGGATAGTTAGAAACATCGATGAGAGAGAAACATCGATTCAGCTGCTTCCTGCACATTCCCTACTGGGATGTGCCCGCAACCAAGGTACATGCCCTTGACCAGAATCGAACCTGGGACCCTTGAGTCTGCAGGCCGATGCTCTATCTTCTGAGCCAAACCGGTTAGGGCCAATTGTATTCTTTGTCTTTGTCTCTCTGAATTTTTCTGTCTTAAGAAATCCATTCTTTCATAAATCACTATCTTTTGAGTTCTGCCGGGCAGTGGGCTGGGCACTTTCACCATGGTGATGTTTTTGACCCTTTAGTAAGAGTAGCTCTTAGTTCAGAGTGGCTGTAGGTCTCAGAAGGAAGAAGCGATTCAGGTATATCAAGCTTCTGATGAGTAAAGCTGTTGAATAAGGTTTTTATAAAGGATTGATTTTGATGAGTGACATTGATTATCTTTATATATTTCCATAGAAAAAGATTAGCTGTAATGTGTTCACTTGGTATGGATTATTTTATTTAAATCCACCTGGGAACTTAGTGCAGACAGACCACAGGCAAACAGTTTGTTTTGGTGTGTGTGTCTGGATGAGGAGGATTCACAGGTTCTGTGTGTGTGTGTGTGTGTGTGTGTGTGTTTTGGGAGCACCATTGGGTTTTGGGAGCACTGGGTTTTGGGAGCACCATTGTCTGGTTCACTGTATGTAGGCTGGGAGTTTGCTGGTCACTTGGAGTGCTGGTCCCTAGAACAGGAAGAATAAGATGGAGGTAAGACACTGTTTGAAATCACCTCTTAATTTGTACTGCATAAAATAGAATGTAAATTATATTTGAATAGGTTTTTGCTTTAATTGTAATCTCTGTTCTGATCTAGTAAAATGGAATTTTGTCCTTTGCTCTCTTTTCTAACTCCTCTATATTTGACCAAAAATAAATGAAGACATTTAAAATCAAAGCAATTGGATAAATACATTCTTTTAAAAATATATATGATTTTATTGATTTTACATAGAAGAAGGGGAGGGAAAGAGGGAGAGAAACATTGATATGAGAGAAAAACATAGATTGGGTTGCCTCCTGCAACCTTGCCATGTGCCCTGACCAGGAATTGAACCAGCGATCCTGAGTGCAGGGGACAACTTTCAACCTGTTGAACCACACTGGCCAGGGCAATAAATACATTCTTTAAAATATCTCTAAGAAAATAAAAATTGGTTTGTTTGTTTATTTATTTATTTATTTATTTATTTATGTATTTACTTTGCTTTCTGGTTTGTTTATTGCTTTGAAGGCAAAGTGATTGCTCAAGGAAATGATTTATCTATCTCTTGCTCAAATGAATGAACTTGAGAAACTTTTTGAAAGAAGGCTTAGAGGTTTTATTTTAATAGGAAACTTCTAAGATGCTTAGTACAGTAGGAAGAGCATGGTCTTTGGAGTTGTCCACCTCTAACTCTTGCTTGCTTTTTGACCTGGGTAAGCTGGTAGCCTCTCTCAGCCTTGTTTTTATTCATTGTTTTCCCATCTGTAAAATGGGGCTAATACAACCTTCTCTGCAGGTGTGGTGAGGACTGGAGATGAGGGTCTGGGGCTTCGTGGGGGTCAGGGCTTGCTGCTACGAGTTACTGTAGGTAGTGAGTGATGGGGGCACGTTCTCAGTGGTACTAGTAGTAGGAGTGTAGCTGAGTCCTGTCCTGTGCATGGATGAGGGGCTCAGTTTCCTTGTCTGGTGAGGAAGGCAGCCTACTGTGTTCACCCATTGGCACCCTGGGCAGGTGAGAGAATTGTCAAGGTGCACGGTGGGCAAGAGTCCACGCTGTAGAGTCCTTGGTTATTCCTGGCACTGGGAGGTTTTTTTCCTGGAAGTTCCTATGGAAAAGCCAGACATAACTGGCATGTCCTTGTTTGGGGATCAGTGGGCATTCCCATTGGCAGAGTGTGAGGGTATGCCAAGCAACATTGTGCCTGGGTGGCCCCTATTTTGGATGTTTCTCTAGCTTCTGTTGCCATCAGTCTTTTTGCCTGGAGGGTGCCAGATGTTGGAAAGTCTCCAGATGTCATCTTTCTCTAATTTGAGCTACTTTGATAGAATCTAGCACTCTGCTCAGAAATATTTTTGATGAACAGAAGGTTCACAGTTTTGTTATAGACTTGTTCGGTTTTATTTTTTCTCTGTGAGGGGGGGAAAGGAAGAGAAAAATAAGTAAGGGATTCAAAATAACTGGCTCTAAATCTCTTCTAGTCTTCCTTAGTCAAATCCGCTCTGCTAGGTGGTCTTTAACTCCAGTTAAAGATAAATAATATTCCTCTGGCCTTGAAATAGTGTGAACATCCAGCTCCTCGTTGTTTCTGTGTCGGCATCTCCCAAGGACCTTTATGAGCCGGCCTCTTTGGTGTCTTCTGGCCTGCTCCCTCCTCAGCTACAACTCCTCTGGCCCTGGGGGCTCCATGGTAAGCACCTGGAAGGTCCCAGCATGCCTGTCCCATGCCCGGGACTTCAGGCACTACACCTCCTCAAAGCATCCCTGCTGCTTCTCAGACTAAGCTGAAAACCTCTCCTTTGTGTGGCCTTGGTGGCCGGTGAGCTTTTCTTCATAAACACACTGTACTCTTAACTTGTAGTATTTTTGTGCTTTCCATGCCTAGGTTGTGACCTACTTGAGGGCAGGACTTTGTCTTATTTATTTTTATATCCAGTGCCTAACCACTGCTGAACAGAGTAGCTGCTCAGTGAATGCTGATTGAGTGAACAGATGAATGACCACAGCACATGTCATGAAAGGAAGGAGTTAGTGGTGTGATGACAGTTGTGATTTCATGGCCGTGTCTGATCTTTGTATTCCCAAAGACAGCATTCCTCTGCCTTCCTATTTCCAGGTGGCTAAGAGGAATATTTAGCTTGCTGTGAAAATGTGTTGCTCATTTCATATGTCCGTAATTCTGAGGCC